CTCGGCCTGTCTCCGGCTCTGGGCGCGCAGCGCTGACGCGTGAATCTAGGGCGGGTTCAAAGACAAAGGCACAAAAGCTGGCGTGGCTTCTGGGCCGACTCTCAAGGACGTTTGCAGTGAGGCCGCCCCGGGTCACCGGGAGCCCGGCGGATCGGGCCCAAGCTCACCGCCAGCGGCTCTGCGGAGAAAGCCATGCCCGGGTCTGTGGCTGACCCACTGTCTGTGACGCAGACACCGAGCGACAGAGCGGCCGCCGCGCTGACCGCCCACCGTCAATGGCGCGTGTCTAATCCACATGAGCCTCCGGAAACTGGCTCTGGGGGTGACGGGACCCGCTTAGCATCAAGCATGGCTAAAATTTCCGCTAAAGGGCGTCAAATGCTTAACAGCAAAATACTAAAAAATTCCCAAGGGCTTCTGCCACCTGAGACATTTCACACGACAGATGAGCCTGTGAGACTCAATCCCGTGGGACAGCCCGAGGCCCTGGGTTAAAGCACCGCTCCGCTGTCTCAAATATCCCTCTGAATGACACCATCTGCTCAGTAAAAATGTGATCAGTGTGTAATCAGAATCCACAGCCTGCGCTTTCTGCCTCTCAGGCTGATGTAATAGTATCAACGCTAACACATGTAGCTGCTTTGTGTCTCTCCACGTGAGGACCCCACGTGGCACGTTCTCAGGACGGGGCACGGGGATGAGCCGGGACTGAGTTACAGGGAAGCTCAGCCCTGGGAGGAAAAGGCTGAGGCTGGTCTGAGCAGAATCGGTCACTCAAACTTCCCCCAGGAGCGAAGGGGCGTGCAGGGCAGACCTCAAGAGCGACAGGGAAAGCAGTCGGGCGACAAACCGGTAACAGGAGTCGAGGACACGCCAGTCATCAAAGCGGGGGAACTGGAGACTCTCGCGGAGCCAGCGGCAAACCCAGACGGCTGCCGCCGGCCCCAGGGACCCCGGGACGCGAGGACCCCGACTCTGGCCGCTTGCTCACCCGGCTCAGTGCTTTGAACCCCTTCAGGGACCTGCCCATCCTGCGGCCCACTTCTGGGCTCCCCCTGCTGGCTGATCAGATGCCCACTCCTGGTTTCCCTCAACCCCTGTACCAGCCCCCGAGACCTCCCAGTGACCACAGGGTGTGCCACCCGGCGACAGGGACGCAGCCCGAGCCCCCCCTCCCAGGGGCAGGGGGGCTGCACGCAGACTCACCTCATGCACCGGGGCGGACGCGCAGACATTGTGAGTCTTTTGGCTCCCCGTGTCCGTCTGTCTTTCCCCCCAGCCATACAGAGCAAATGGATGCTTCTTCTGCCTGATTTTGCTGGACGATCTTTGCGGGCTCCTGACAGCCCTCCTGGCTCCTCCAGCAGACAAGGCGCTGGGCCGGGGTCCAGGGTCGCAGCCGCTGGGTAAATCGCTGGTCTCTTTCGTCCCGACCTGCTGCTGCTGCTCAGGGTTTTCTTTGCCATCTTTCACTGGCGATGCTTTTGAAAACAGAGACACAACAAGATCAAAGTGCTTTAAAATCAGGCTTACATAGAGTAACTCTAAGTATTTGAGTCGAAAAATACACAACGCCTAATTAAATCAGTAACACTTTCACTTAGGTTCAATTCACAAGTTTCACTTAAAGCAGAAATGCGGAAACAAGTTAGTATAATAATTTTGAAACAGCGTAACCCATCTTTAAATCAACAACCAACACAGCAACACTGAACTAAGCTCATTCAAAAGCAACTGCTGTCACTCACATTCTAAGATTAAGCATCTAAGTACACATCACAGGCAAGCATGGTGGCCACTGGCTTTGTCCACTGTACCCAGAAGTCCAGTTGTCCCAGCCTCAGGGAAGACCTGGGTTTGTGCTCATCAGCAGGTGCACGAGGTTGGTTTCTCAGTTACCCGAATGCCCGGATGAAAGCCATCCCTTCTCGATGTCCCACAATTACAGGACGTGCTACTCGTAGAGCTAGCTGGTGACCTGAACTTGAAAGGCCCCCAGTCACAGCAAGGTGTGCTCACTGGCTCAGTGCACAGTCGTGCACCCCAGTTTGAAGAGCTAGATGGGAGCCCCTGCTCCAAGGGCCTCCCCTCCACCTGCGACAGAAGTGGCTACAGGACTCGGGCCCGGTCCCCACTCCCATTGCCCTAAGTTCTGTCCTTAGAGCTGGGAACCCCAGCAGGAGTGGGGCTGCCGGCCGAGTGAACACCGGGTACCAAGGACACACTCCAACACACTGCTGTCCTGATTACCTTGTACGATCGTGCCATCCATTATTTCTTAGAAACCCTTTATTTTTGGTAAAAGTTATATTATTGTGTTTACGCCCTTTGGGAGCCGTTTTCATTGCAGCCTAAACGCACATTCAGAGCACTCCTCAGCACCCAGACCCTGTTGGGTCTTAGGGACCCCCCCCCATCAGATGCTGGGGAACCGAGCTCCAGGTGCCGCTCCCGGATGCCTCGTCGCCTCCTCCGGGCGCCTGCGGGGCCTCGACGGACCAGCTGTCGCTCGACTCCGCCCCTTATCGCTGAGCGCACAGGAAGAGACGGCAGTCCCACCCCCGCCTGACACCCGCACCGCCCGGCACCTCCAGAGCGCGGTGCGGGACGCCCGCCTTCCGCCACCCTGAGAACCTAGTGCCACTGGTCACTCAAACATCTGTCCGAGCGGCGCGTCGGCCCCGCCCACCCGCTCCGCCCTGGATGGGGGGGGCGCCAGGGGCCACGACAACAGGGGTGGCTGGAGCTGAAACGGTGGGAGGGGACTTCAAGCGGACCAGTCCCTCCGCCCCGCGCCCTCCGGGCGCCCCAGGGCCTCCAGGAAGGAGCGCAGGGACTGCTTCAAGGCCCCCTGGGGCAAGCCAGAGGACAGGGAGGACGCCAGGGGCCGGGGCGGCCTTCAGAGGCCTGGACAGCGAGGGAACAGGAGTTCGCAGGTCAGGCGCACCTGCTGGGGACGAAAGCGCGGAGCAGGCAGCGGGCAGGGAGACACCCCACGCCGAGCTGGGCCGCTCCCCTTAGCCTGGGACCAAGGCTCGAGGACGCAGTCCAAGCTGGGGGTGGCAGGTTCTCCGCACTTTCGGGACAGGCCTCCAGCTGCCGCGCGAAGGACGGCTTCCATCACAAAGCTGGGCAGAGTCCACGGGGTCGCCGTGGGTGATGGCAGGGTGGACGGCAGAAAGGGCCAAAAGGCTGCTCGCCAAGCCTGGCAAACGCTCAGAGTCCCCCGGGCATCGTGGGCGACACGCCGCCTGACCGGCGGGCGGTGACCCCGAGGGTGCCGAGCGACAAGGCCTCCGCGAGCGGCCCGCCCGGCGGCACGCCAAAGCTGGGCAGAGTCCACGGGGTCGCCGTGGGTGATGGCAGGGTGGACGGCAGAAAGGGCCAAAAGGCTGCTCGCCAAGCCTGGCAAACGCTCAGAGTCCCCCGGGCATCGTGGGCGACACGCCGCCTGACCGGCGGGCGGTGACCCCGAGGGTGCCGAGCGACAAGGCCTCCGCGAGCGGCCCGCCCGGCGGCACGCGGCGCGAG